GTGTTGTTCCACAGAGTACTCCACGCCCAGCGCGTCCTCCTGCCAAGAGATCATACTCAAGATGCTCAAGAAGCACCAGCATCAGCAGTAACACTGACTTCCAATCCATGTTCCAGATGTCCCTGCAACAGCAACAAGCCCTTGCTATCCAGTCCAGGGAACAGCATCAGCAGTCCATGGAAATGAATCAGCAACTGTCGAATCAAAGCATGGCCCAAATCAAGACAATGATTGCTGAGATTGCCGGTGCTTTTCTGCAACGTCGGAAGAGGAGAAAGAGGAAGAAAAACAAGAAGAAACACAATGCGTTATCGTCCTCCTCATCCTCCTCGTCATCTGAAGATGATTCGGATGATTCGGAATAACAATCCCATGGTCATTTAGTAATTATTATTAATCTAAACTAGTTTGCTGATTGCTGTTTGCTCCCCCCCCCCTGGTGCTGATTGCTGATTGCTGTTTGCTCCCCCCCGGTTTGCGATTTATGAGCGAGTGAGTACTGAGCAAAATACTACGGGACACGCGATACACCGTGTTATTTGTTCTGGGACACGCGATACACCGTGTTATTTGCAGTTTTCTTGCATACCTTCCCACAAAAAACCGGCACTGGAACCGGAACCGGCACTGGTAACAGAGGGGGAACGCTACTGTTCCCGTGGGATTGTTTCCATGTGCAACGCGTTCCCCTTCTGTTAAGGTATGCAACAAAACTGGTATGGCAGAAATAACACGCTGTATTGCGTGGCTTGGATCAGGAATAACACGGTGTATYGCGTAGGTTCCTCCTTTTCTAGAGTCTGTTTTGCTCAGCTCATCTTTCATAATACTAAATACTAACTAACTGTAATAACTAGAACTAAATGAAACTAACTAAACTAAATGAAACTAACTAAAGAACTAATCAAAACTAAAGAGGAACGACCATGGCGGACCCCCCCCCCCCCCCGCACGCATGCAACAATCAACAACCGACACGCATGCAACAATCGACAACCGACACAAACAATCGACAACCTCCCCCCAGCACGCGACAATGGAAACAATCGGCAATTATCAGCTATCGACGATTTGGTGGAATGCTGAATTAGCATCTCCATCAGGGGCCCTCTCATAGGAGAAATATCCTACTTGGCTTTGTGCATATGTGTCCCTCATCTCTTCATAGGAGTCGAAGCCATTGGTATCACTCATGAAGGTGTTGAGGATCTGATTAATGCCCACTCTGCAGCATTGATAATTATACAACAAGAACAAGAGATTAAGAATGACCTTCCGGTCTCCAAGCTCTTCCAAGGTAAGCCTCTCCTTCATCCGTGGAAATTGCCCTTGAATCATTYGCATGCCCCATTCTGATAGCTGGCGGACAGCTGTTGCTTGTCTATTGATTACTATTGCCTGGTTGTTCTGTGCCATTGTGGGAAAATTATCTGGATCATTTTGCTGGCTTTGAATGAGATACTCAGCTCCTCTCACCTTAAACGCGGAATCCACAACAACTCTCCCCCCTGTCCGCTTATATATGCTCTCTGCCTTCTCATATACGCCATAATCTGCAAGTGTCGTTAACCCACGAGTTATAGTAAAGGGCTTGAGTGTTCCAGTCCAATGCATGCTCAAGTTTAATTTTTAGCCCGCCGGCTGCACCCCAGAGGTTCTTTGTTCCAAGTGCCGGGTACTTCCTTGCTATTGCTGACACGTATGCCTCTACTTCTTCATTGACTGGGGGCCTAATAATTGCATCTGGATGTTTTTGCAACACAAAAAGAAGGACTCGTCTAGAAAATTTCAACCATTTATAGAGGGGTGTCGAGGTAAGCCCAAAAACCATACTCAATGTTCTAGCTGATGATCCACAGGTTCTGTACCAAGTCAAGGCTAATCCAAGTCCCATTTTAGCAGTAAGCRCCCTCTTCTTGCCCTTTGGTTTGCCTTTCTTAGTGAATAGAAGTGGTCTGATCTCCAAGGTGTTTTTGTCCACTGTATATGCATCRAAAACTGGTTCAAAAAGTCTGAGGAGATCCCTGAAGACAGGATGGTCCACACCACAGCAGTTGAGAAGAGCTTGGTTGTCACCACTATCAAACAAATGAGTGAATGCAGATTCATGAGACTCCATGAGTGCAATCCGTGGAATCCTCTTGTCACGACGRCGCCTGTCTTCTTCAGACAGTCTTTGTTTTGCTGGTGTCCTGTTGTCGTCGTCTTCCTCCAGGGAAGAAGCTGCCCACCAGGCAATTAAGACCATCTGAGGGGTCATGATAATACTACTAGTGTGGTGTTTTTTTCTGTGAAGGAGCAATTGATTGCCAAATAGTGAGGGTAGGGACTGTTTTGGAGGAGGATACCGACTGTTTTTGTTGTTGTTATTCCTCTTTGTTTGTTCTTTCGGAGAAGGATTCAGTTTTCGAGGATTCTGTTTCTGAAGTTTTGAAGGCACGTGAAAATCCCAAAGTTCCTGCCACTTTGGAATTTTGTGAAATTGCATGCAATTTATACAGGATTCCAAATTCTGAAAATGGGGGGAAAATAAGTAAGTTGAGCTGGAAATCTGTGTCTTCTGTACCACTGAAAGTGATTCCCGAAAACATATCACGAAATATGTTTGCGGGAATCACCCATTGTGTACGAGTACGTACGGTACGTACTCGCAAAATGCAACTAAAATTGCATTATCATAATTGCCTCAAAGGCAGCGAAAATTCCTACTACATAACCCTATGACCCCCAAATAGCCATATACTCACAACCATACTCCTATTTTTGATACCATCATATTGCTTTTTTTCTGCAGTAATTTTCTACTGGGTATGATACTTGTTTTTCTTGCCTCCTAACCATTCAGTAGCTTTTTAGTTGCATTCTCAAAGATTGAATACT